TCTGTTGATGGTTTATATAAATCTATTGTAATTGTATTCTTTACAATTGTTTAATAAATAAATGTATCTTTCGATTTAATTACAATACGATATTCCACGTCTGTTTTTTCTCAAGTCCGATAACTCTCAATATTTCCTGGACCAATTCGACGTTGACAAGAACCAGCAGTTAATAAACCTACCAAACGTCAGATTTTAATTGAAAGACTAATGTCTTGAAAAATAAACTGGTATGGAACGAACAATTGAATTTGCGTCATGAATTGTTTCAGAAATGGGCTATCGCCCCAAGAGAGAGAGACTTGATTACAAATAAGGGACAGACTGACTTAAAAGGACAGATGTGCCATTATTTTTTTTGGGGGAGGGGGGGGGGATTTTAGTCTTAAATATATTGGTCTTCAGAAGTACTGGAAATGTTCGAAAATCACAAAATTCCTTTAAAAATATCTCAAACTAGGAATTTTACTCACTATTTCTATATATGTTTCTTCTTTATATCACAGGATATCTTAAATTGACGAGTCGTCATTCTAACATTCAAACGCAGATTATTCTGGACACACGTGGATTTGAAGGCTTAAATTTCGACGGTGAGCTTCGAACACTATTACTGCTTAGCTCATCTAAAGAATTTCAGTTTCTGAGACTAAAGTATGATTGATAAAAAAAAATGGCCTACCTGTCCCTTTAATAGGGGTAGAACCGTCGATGTTGAATTTCAAAATGTGGAAGCGCCATTGGCACAAGCCTCCCATGGGGCGATTCAGAGCCCCCCACCCCCCAAGAAAATGTTTGAAAATAGAATTGATTTGGTGCATTCTGGGCATTCATATTTTGGGGTAAAAAGGTTTGCAATTCAGATTTTAATATTCTATTTGAAATGAAGTGGGTGTGATTTGAAATATAAACCATTTTTCTGTACCCCACTGACATCGTCACTGAATGGGGTCTTGCCTGTTTTTTTTCCAAATAAATCTGCCGGAGGTTCAATAAAATACACCCCTCAGAGCACCAATTGAGCATATTCTATCCCAGGAATATATATATTAGCCATTTTTATCTTCACGCGGAGCACTGGTTTATTATTAGACTACTAGAAATCTATTCTAAATCAGTCCCTCTAGAGAACCGAAGATACAAGATACATAATCAGACAACATACAGTTGACATGGTCTGGAATATTGTGGAATATGGAAACAAGTTTGGTTGATGTACCAGACTGATCAGAACTTGTATATTGAGAGAACATTCCGATTTTTCAAGTCGTCGAACACGACAGTTGTCTGAGAGTCTTTTTGGTGAAGTATTTTTGTCCACTTGACCAATCTGAGGCTTCCTTCTGAATTTTCATGTAGAAGTTACATCTCACGTTTGTACTTTGTGAGTAAGCCATTGGAATTTAAGGCATTGTCGCAATTGGTTTTTCTTTTCTTCTTTGGTGACCACTTAATTGCATGGTTTTTGGTTGTATAGTTAGTGACTGCATGATATATATTCACGTCATCAACGAAATTATAAGCATGAAGAGAATCTAGGGTTCCTCAACTATTACTAATGTCCCTGAACTTATAACTTTCACTAGGCAAATGTTAGACAAATGTAATGCTTGAATGGGAGGACGCAAAACCCCATACTAATCCATTTCATTAAAATTATTTATATTAAACTGGACTGTTGTGCTTCATTTATAATTTATTACAAAAATATACATTTTTTAAAAACCTATATATTTAATATTAATTTTTCTTTCTTCGCCGACTTTTTTTTCATTTCCTGTTTTTGTTTGTGGACCGGAGATAAAAATATCACGAGGAAGATTTATAGAAAAGATTAATATAAAAATAGTTGATCACATCTGTGGCGTGATGTCTATTAATGAACTTCTGCACTCGAAATATATTTCAAAATATTATTCAGAATTTCTGTTAGTGTCAACAGTTTGAAGGGATATACTCTGTGTAAGTTTCGCGACTGGTTTCTAGAGTGATCTAGGGTTCGATCCCGACATAGTTCGAGACCTTCAGATGCTTATTCACGGTTTTTCATTGTCAGAGAAGTCGAGTGGAGTGAAATGGAAATTCTCTTTGCAACCAATCAGAAATTGTTGGTTATATCAACAAAAAAAGACCACAGAAGAACATTACGGCAACTTATTAATGACCTTGAAATCTCGAACGACCTTGAAGTATTATCAGTGTTTAACGAACCAACAACAATCGATTGTTCAATCAATTTTCCCTTTTCTATCGATTGAAATCGGTAATATATAGGCCTGGTTTTAGTATTGGAACCAAAATGGAATAACTGTTTTGCAGACTTTAAGATTTCTCAGAATTACCTAATAGGTGAGTGAGTAATGTTCTTGCTCGGTAATCAATTTGTCCAATCCCAGCATGTGCCCATCTGTAAGTGACACTCGGTACCTTGTAAATTATTTTTGTTATAAGTATAGGTCCATTGATAGATTAGTTGGGCTGTAGGAAATATCATAAAATATCCACCATAACTAATAATTTAGGCTACAAAAAGTCATTAGTAGGCCTACCGGTACGTCGTTCTCAGATTTTTTTTATCAAATTGTGAAATATAGCTAAAGGTAGCTTCCTCTTCAGAACTTGATAAACGCGGTAAATGTTATGAAATAGAGTTTGCATCTAACTTTTCTGCTCCTTGTACTGCTAATGGCACAATGCCACCACATCAGACACCTCCTTTTCGACCTCCTGCTTTTGAGTTTAGAAAGCTCCTTGCAGTTGTTTTTTTCTTATGAAAGACCAGGCCACGAATTCTCGAAACGATTTTAGCGCTAGAATGTCCTAGGTTCTAATCTTGTAACAATGATTTTAGGACATCCTAGCGCTAAGATCGTTTCGAGAATACGTGGCCAGACATTTTGTTTTTTTCACGTCCCCGTTTCCGATAGACAGTGGCTCCTTAGGACTGGTCGAACCAAGACCATGTGCCCTACCCAAGGAAAAAGACTACAGACTGAAAATCTTTTAATCTTCCATTAACAGGCATTAAATTGACTTACAGAGAGATCTCAGAATGCAGGAGACCGTATGTTAAAAAAGTCCCAGGGGAGGGGAGCCCAACCCACTAAAGTCCATGGGAAACTTATGTTGTTGAGTCACTGCCGGTAGAAATTGTGATACGTTGTTAAGAACCTTGCTTATCAATAATACTTACCTAAGAGGTACTCTACTTTTAATCCTCGCCGACCAGAACAGTGTGAGTGGTAATGAAGTGTAAAGAAGATAATAAAATAATGGACTATCAATCAGTTTAACTTAATCTCAGGAATCTATCATCGATTATTGGCTACAGACCACATATTATTTCTAACTCTATAAAAACAACTTCATTTCATAGCTCACTGGCTACAGACCACATTGCATTTCAACCACTATAAAAACACTCTTCATCTTATATTAAATAAAGGAACACAATTTTACTATAGTTCATAGGCTGCAGACCAAATAAATTCCGCTTCCATCACTATACATAGGTCACTGGCTACAGACCACATCATTTCTTGAAAACAACCTTGATTGACACAGATTAGGTATATTCTATTTCCAAGATATAGAGTGAACTGCTTGTGTTTATAGTTTGAATCAGAACTGAATGTGTACCGATATCTTTGCGTTTTTGTATTACCCATGGAAGATAACCTTAAACCATTTCCCCTATCATTGATGCAGAGCAGAAGACTCAAAACGTTTAGTCGTCCATATTGAATTCAAAACAGCCGAATGACACTGTCTTGTGCAAATTTTTTCAATATATTCATATCTATTGTCCATATCCATTGAATTGACTGAACACATGATTTCAGATAGAAGTTTATTAATACATTAATAGTATTAGAATAACAAAACTACTTAATATCACAGTTATTGCTTGAAATACATAAATAAATAGATAAATAATTAGAGAGGCGTATTGTAAAAGAATTATGGTCGAGCAGAGATGTTTATGAATTATCTAAGCCGTCTTCACAGTGGTACAGTATTATGAAATCCGCATCCAATAACTGTATTTGCAACCTTAAATATTACGAGAATGGTATCTCATGATTACAAGATTTAGACTGCGTTTATAATAGCTTGACATTGTGAAGATGACCCGAGGCCGATTCTGAACAAAACCGTGAGTTCTCCACCGTGTTTTCGATAGTAAGTGAGACCACATAAACCAGATTTATAAGGTGCTCTTTATTACTTAACCATGTGACAATACAGTGGACTGCCCATGTTTATTTTTCAAATCGATCCTTAATACAGGTATACAAAAGTTTTTGCTGTACATAAAGGGAAGTAATCGAATCCAATACATATCAATTTTCATTCTTTCTGTATGTCTTGTTAGTAAGTATAGTATTTATACAAACTCTATTGTGTCCGTCGACATCAATATCTCAGCTAATGATATATTGTGTATGGTAATGTATTCAAATCTGTGATGAAATTTTTTCGAAACAAAGTGATAACATCTGGCGAAGTTCACAGTTTTAAAATGTTAAAAGCATGACATTTGACTGACACCTGCCCAGTATAGAAGCTGTAGCAAGATTCAATTGAATTTTATATTACAGTCGGAAATATTGGTGTGGAAACAGTATTTATCCACGAACCAATATTTCAATCATTATTTCCTGAAGAAATGAAAGAAGAACAGTTGCAAACAAACTTCATGTCTCTATCACGAAGTTAAAATGAAACTTAGACAGACATAATAAATGCGACGCGAATTTATTCCTTGGAATATATTTTTGATAACATGGTTTATACAATACGTTATATATGATACTGAAATCAAAATTAAACTTCTACCTATATAAAAAAACAGGTAAGCAGTAGCGAAAAAACGGAAAGCTTTCAGTAACGATTACAGTAGCAAAAAGGCATAAAATTCACCGCAAATAAAATACAATCGAGTGTAACTCACACATTCAACATAAACAGTTGGATGAATATTTTTATATTTCAATTTTGTATTTTATTTCTTATTCATGACGATTACTAAATGTCATTCAAAGAAACTTTGACTAAATGTTGATATAACATGAAAGAGCAATTGCAAATAGTGTGTATTATTTTTGTGTAAACGATTTGTCAAATATTTGTAAACTCATATAGATAACACAAATTGTTTGGAGAACAAGTACTGATTTTTATTTTAGCGACGTTTCATTACTGATTTTTTATTTATTGAAAAGGTCAATTAAATCATCAGTAATTGTACTTCATACGGATTGTATTATCGATATTCAAACACCTTTACTAAATGTCATTTGAGAATTAGCTCTAAACTCGATCGCTCAACAAGAAGGAACAGTTCTATTTCAATGCCACTGAACCTTTTTAAGTAAACATCATTATTGAGTAAACATTTTGTATATTCTTGGTAAACACCCCGAATCCCTTGTTACATACAGTGGAACATGATACAGACAATTCCAGTTTCGTAGTAAATATTTTGTATTCTTTGTAAACACCCTGGATTTCGTTTGATATACAGTATTAAGTAATATAACGAATTCCGTTTTTTTAAATTAATTTAAATGGTATATCATATTTTTTGTAAAAATTTTGTATATTTTTGATAAACACTTGGAATCCCTTATGATATACAATATGAAATTACCATACTTTTGTGTAAACATTTTGAATAATCCTGCGTTCATTATTGTATATACCTTAGAAAAAGTTTGTGTAAACACAGTTTGCATCACATAACGCTTAGATGGTCATTATCTTATATATCTTATTAGTTACTTCCATATTTTATATTAGTATATCGTGTTTGTGTAAACATTTGGAGAATTCCATGTAAACACTCTGGATTCTGAATGGTAAAATGTTTACACAAGCTAAATTAAGTTATATTATATATTATTATTAGTTTGTTTAAACATTTTGCATCAAACAATCTGTAAATATTATTGAAATTTGATGGTGTTTCAAGTCCATGTAAACATTTTGCAAGATTTTCTCTGGATATTTGGTGATATAGAATGATAAATGAAGCCAAATATAATGAAAAATGATTTGATTTCGCTGATTTCAGCCCTTTTTCTTGACACTGCCTCCTCCTTTAGATGTTGCTGAACCCCCGACTTCCGTTTGTTCTCTATCGTATTCACTTTCCTTGTCTTTTTCTATCTTAGCTACCATGTTATCAGCCTGTTAATAGAATCAATTGGTTGATAAAATAAAATAAATGGAGTTTATGTGATGAAGGTGGTATTAAACAATGCAATTTTATTTTAAAATAATAACGGTTAATATATCAAACACAGTAACCCGGAACAAAGTTGGATTGACATTGCAACTGTTTGAAATGGTTTGGAGTTTTATGTCTTACTTTTCTGCACTGTATTTTGGCCAAGATTTGTAAATAAACTAAGCGAGAAGGTTTGGGGGAAGTCAAACGTATCACAGCACCAACCACATATCAATCTCTACAGACATTTAGTCGAAGCGTTGCATGTAAAGTGTATTTATTACTGCTATTCACTATCAGTGCGGTACCCAGGTTTATTTCGTACCAATGGCGAATCTACATACCCCTTCCCACCACCGAGAAAAACACCTGCCCTAACTTTTAAATTTGTAACCATCCTACTTAGGGGAAGTATTGCCTATGAGAGCCATTTGGAAATTCTGTGGACTCTACTCGGCGTCGCCCACCTTATAAAAAGCTATTGCTGCTTCCTAAAAAACACGACTATCATTCTAGACCTTGTCCAGAGGTATAATTAGCTATCTTGCCTCTGACAGACTGAGATGCTGAGTTGACAAACCGAATCGCGTAGTGACATCATATGTTCTGTAAGGGTGGGCATTCCCTGCCTTGCTCACGGCAATCACTACAAGAATCACACAATGGGAAATCGGTTGTTAAAGTTCCTATTTTTCCCGGAATAACAACAAACGGTCGGTGAGTTCCGACCTAAAACACAGTACTGGTTATTGAAGTATGAAGTTCAAAAGAATCGTCAATATTTAGTCTTTATCATTCTCTATTAAAGGCGGTATTTGTTTAACCAATTCTAATCAATTATATCCACAATTTTACATTTTCTATTTCCCGGTCTATCAATACCAAATAAAGCCATAGAATACTGACAGAAAAAATATTTTACTAGTCTGTTGACGTCACAATGAATTCAAAATTCGGTCACGAGACAGTCGTTAATTCCATTCCATATGTATAGTATATTACGTGCCAGAGAATTGTTGCTGCATACATACATACTTTACACATAATCTTACATTTTGGTCTATTTACATGTGGAAACTGTATAGATACTGTGAGTTTAAACAGGGGGTATATAAAGAATCTTTGGGTAGATATATTTGCTCTGACACCCAAAACATATGTTATTGTTTTGATCTTCTCATCCTTTTGTTTATGGCACACGGTGAGTTTACTAATAAGATAAAGAACAATATTCTTACCCAAACGTAGAATGTAGCAGCACCATAGCTAGCATCTTTAACTTCTTCCAGTGTGTAGGCTTGGAGGATAGATTTAACACGACTTGCTGTAATCTCATTCACATGTTTAGTATCGAATTCACCAATCTGTCTGATGAGTTTATCTCGAGTGAGCTGGCCGAGGTAAGCTTGAATCTCATTCCAGTCCTGAAAGGATGCGCCAATCATATCATAAAAGAATACAAACAAGACCAGCACGTAGTAAGAACTCTCGATGTAGATTGTCTTGTACACGCAAAAGCCAGGAAGATCAATGCAAAAAGGTTTAGCCATTTGTACAAAGGGTATCCCGTACAAACACAAAGATAAAAAGATACACCTACTCCAAGCCTATCCTCGGAATATCCCATCAGCATGTAGGTAGCTGCCATGACGTCATGAACACATGGCGGGGGATGATGATAGCTGCGTAGTTCAGATATTGTGGTTTGTTCCATTTTGCAAATATCATGAGCACAATTCTTTAGTTCCTGTAAATGCCTCTGTAACTTCTCAGCAACTTGTATCTGATTAGTTAATTTATCAGCAAATTTGGAATTCTTGGCATCCTGGATTGATTTCTCCAAAACTCCGGCATGTCGTCTTCTTATTGCATCTCTTAAATCTAAAATGAAAAAATAAAATTCATCTGTGAGTTTAGAGAATGCGAAATGTATTTGAAAATGCCAAAATGTGCTAAAACAATAGGGCAAATAAGTTCTTCGGGACTTTCATTTACTATTCAATTACGATAAAACTTCACATCTTCCGGAAAGTATTCAGAAATACCTAATTAATCTTCAGATAAATGTAAGAATCAATTAAAACCAACTGAATAGTAGTGTTAATTGACGATCATTATAGGTTTACTTCCACCACTAACCTCGTTTCAGTGTTAAATATTGTAGTTTTTCCTTAGCCCTTCTCAGATCACCACAATCATCTAACTTCTGCTTCTCAAAATTCTCGATGGTTTTATGGAGTTCCTGTAGATCATGTCCACTGGTAGCATCAATCATCTTCTGACGAACCATTCTCTACAAGGTAAAACATTCTGATGATCTTGGTTAATGGCCTGGAATATGTATTCACATGTATGATGTGCTTAGATGAAATGTCAGAAAAAGAAAATGAACTATATTCGGCAAAGTTTAAAATTATATATTTATGGTTGTTGTTGCTGGTAATATTATTTATAAAATAGAATGTGGTTGCTCATAATTGCCAGAGACAGGAGAAATAACCCATCTTTTACTAAAAAGTCTGTATTATGTATTAAATGTTAATTTTAGATTGATTTTTATTATCGTACCTTATAACCTTTTTCGTGAGCCTCAGAATCCGCTACTTCACCATTTTCGTGTGACTTTTCTCTAGATCTCTGAAACATAAAACAAAGTTTCAACACGGTGGTAACATTGCAGGGATTCGTTTGTCACCCATGTAATTCCTAGTTGGATGATAAGCGTTTTTCCATTTTTGTTATAGGTTTCTAGCTCCAATATTACGGTCGCAAGGGTACATGAGTATATAATCATAGGGCGTCTGTCTATTTTTTCTTTCATTATGTCCGGAAGGTACTTTTCTTTATACATGTATATGTTAGTAAAAACATTGTGGTGTCAATGATCGAGTTTATTGACCACTGGTGTCTGTCAAGTTTTATCAATTTCTTTATACGGCTCAATTTCTTTTATCTTCATGAGATCGATAAGTAACAAATCGACTTCATTCCATTCCAGATTCTTACCATTGATGGAGGCTTGGCTTTTCTCGGAGTTGATTTAGGACTTCTACCAGGAGAGTTCTTCTCAGTACCATTCCGGGACAACTACAAAGAAATACATGAATAGACTGATTTATCAGAATGGTTATTTTGATGAATAATTCGAATTAAAAAAACACTTTTTGTGTCTTGTTTTCTGTTGTTGTTACTTCACTCATTTTAGGTCAAACGACATTCTCCTCTCCTCCTCGTCAAATCCACCGTTTCAGGATTGGTGAGCGATAATAATACAGGCAGTCCTCATTTTAGTTTAAATTTGATCAAAATGATGTATCGTTTTCTGTGATTACTTCACTCAATCTACGTCTAACAACCATTCTTTAAAATCATATTTGACCTAATGACAAGACCAACTGCTGATGTACAATAAAGGTGTTAAAAAAGCACATATGTTTGAAACTACGTGTCGTTCTTCCATAAAAATAACATACGCCAACTTTGTTGACTGCCATATAGATCATTGTTACATTGTTATCTCTAAATGTTTTATAAAGTTATAAATATTTCAATTAAACCTCTTACATGGCGGTCAACTAAGTTGGTGATCTGATACTGCTAGCTAGGCCAGACGCGTAGTTTCAAATGGGTAAGCAGTAAGCACCTACTGATCAAAGCATTTTATTGGTCATATTATCTTGAAAAATTGATAGATCTTGATTGAGTGAAGTAACTTTCAAAGAAGACAAAGCTTAATGTATTTTAATTAAAATAAATATAACATGCATGGTTTACTAAGAAAATATTGACTCAATAAATGCATAGTTTGAATTCTAGACTGATAAAGATAAAAAATTCCATGTTATGTAAGCAATTAGAACAGAATATTACAAATATAGAGTCTTGCCACTATAGCAACAAAAACAATATTGATACGTATTTTGCATTATTCTTTACAAGCCAGTTTTAAAATAAAAAAGAATGCTTGAAGCAAAACACATGCAAACAACAGTGCTTAGTGAGAGAGGCCGCGGGTTGAGTTGGGTTGGGTTCCTGTAGATTTGGGAGGAAGACAGTTGGGACCGGGTAAGATGGGATTAATTTATATGGGTTTAAAATACATTGCTAGATCATTGCATATTCACTATTACAATTCCAACACTAAGGCAGGCTCTTTCATTGCAATAAGAGAAATGGAACTCTAAATTTACAATCATTTACATACTATGGGGGTGTTTAGAGCCAAATGGTCAATGTTAAAAGAATATTGCATGAACTTTGGAAGATGATATAGTATGAACCAGGTTTGATAACAATTATCCAGATATCAGAAACAAAAGAAACGATATTGTCACCTTATTTTAAAAAGATAATGTTATATTCGAATTAAATTTGAAATATGTAATGGTTTTAGATTTCGCTGTAGTTATATTGTTTTCAAGCTTCAACCAATAAACATTGAATAATACACGAAGAAAACAGTAAAAGTGAGAAAAGCTGTTCACACAGTTTAGGATTTGTGAATAAGGTCAAGGTCATTATAGTAGCAGCGCTTAAAGCCAGTGACAATAATTACCTCCCTTTGAAGATCTGTTTCTGGAGTTGGAGAGTAATCTTGTGAGTCTTCAACTGGTGAAGGTCCATTCAATGATTGGAAATCCTGGTGGGCAGCAAAATCAAATAAATAAAGTCTGTTACTTTACGACTCTATATGAATAACAACCCTAATCGCATACACCAAATCACTTATATTAGCCTAATTTATTATCCACAATCCTGAAATGATTACTAGACGCAAGATCTTTGCATTGTGGGGGAATTACAAGCGGCCAGTGGCGGAGCAAGATTTATGTCCAATGGCGGCGAAATATCTGAGATTTCCCAAATTTCTAACCTAGTTATGAGATTTTTGCTCGAGGGTGGTTGGTGTGTTGGTGCTGGAAACACAATGAGGAAATTTTTTGGTCAGATTTTAAGCAGTGTTAACTGTTATCTCATTCTTTAAGTCTTGGCAACGTATTCTCGAAACGATCTTAGCGATAGGATGTCCTGGGGTCGTAAGTCATAACACTGTTTCTGGGATTCTAGCGCTGGGATCGTTTCGAGAATATGTAGCCTGGATCTGAAACTCATCAATTGTCCCTGCTATGATTACTCCAAGGGCGGTGACAAATATAAAATATTGAAACTAAATCTCGTAAGAGTTTATAAGATCAAAGTAATATATTGTATACGCCCTAATCAATACATGAAACTAATTTAAGCCGTTGCTTTATTCAGATGAAAACAATGTTTACCCGGAGGCTATAACTAACATACTTGTTTTATTGATGTTTTATTTGTTAGCTTATCTATTTTTTTAAGGTAATGTGTGTGTTCGAATTCAGACTATTCCCAAGTTAACGACTTACATCACAACAACGTGTCTTCATTTAAGGCATGAATGGACTGGTGAAGGTTACACCTATATAAAGCTTATTCGAGCAACTAATGGCTCCGAGCTCAAACAATACCATTCTACATGTATTTCATTTTTCTACTCATTTTCGTAGCCCAAGGCGTCAAAGAATGTCTAGCCGTCAAGGTTTCGCCAATTTAGATTCCAAAGTTTTCCAATTTCTCTTCAAACTGTTTTCGATATATTATTATATTATAGTATTTAGTAACTGACCATCCAAGATCCCCAGTAAGCTAACACCCTGAGCAGAAGGGTCGAAGAGTTTAAATACTTAAAAACCTATTATAGATTTAGACATACTCCTTTTAGTTATTTGTAAGATTTTAACCAATAAATATAGATCGAGATCATAGAAACTAGGTCAAGTGTCTGTAATTGATACTAAGTATCATGAAAGGTCGGAACTATTGAGACAATCACTTCCGGTCATACAAGGCTGTTTATAGATAAACGGACAAGTGTGATACGTCATTTCCGGTTGTTTCGCGATATTATTGAACTACTTGAAAGTTTTATTGGTTTATTATTGTCTCTCTTTTGCAATTACAAACTGGCATTTTTTTTTTCATTACATTCCTTCCAATGGTATGTGGACACTCTTAAATGGGTCTCCGAGATCACAAACCAAAACTTGTCTGTTCTCCCTTAGCCAGCGACATTCGAATTTGATTTTGGTTAACGTTCAAATCGTCTGAATTCGTTTACTTATTTTATTGATATTTGTCAATTAAAAGTGCTTCCAATACCTGCAGGAAAATCACATTCCCTTATCTAATAGGACGCGAAATATTTCTACACTTTTGAAGGTTTTGAAACTGCTTGCCATTAAAAGGAATTCTCTTTGATTCCAATATTCATTGTTATTTTGTAGAATATATCTGTTGGTCATAAAGAGCAATTGGATTAAGATAATCTTTGTGTTCCTGTCATTGATCAGTCATTGATATTAAACCATTTTTATGTTTCTGAAAAACAGGGTGCTGACTTTGTAGTAAGATTATACCATCTAGAAGAAATATATAATTGTTATTGGCCCTATCCTATACAAAGTACCATTCAATAAGACTTACTTGTTCCTGTTTCCTTTTATTGGTAGGAGTTGGTTGTTCTTCCTTCTGAGAAGAGGCCCCACATCCCATATTCCTGGAATAACCTCTGACTTGGTCTATTTGGTTACATCGTAAATAAAGTTATACCTGAAATAGATATTATATTATTATTTTATTTGAAAGTGACTATAAAAAACAAATGGATGTAAATGAAATCATCATGTAAACATTTAGCTGCCTCAAGACAAACTGCAAGTTGCTTCCGGATCGGTCCATTAGAACAATATAATCGGTTCTTCAAATCAAATATTTCCCAGATATTCGATACGTCACGACGCTCTTCTTTATGGTTCGTTACTGATTGGTTTGTTATCGACAATATCTTTTCAACAGAGCCCAAACAGTTGTAAAAAGCAGGACGTAAAACTCCATTGCATTTCGTGTAGAGAAAGGAAATGAATAGTCTATGTAGATGTAGTATTAATATTTTAATCCCAGAAGACAATTTGTAGTAATCCTGAAAATTCAAGATTTTGCCTTGATAAAAACCAATATACCTTAAATAGCATTGTCAGTATAGATCTCCATATATTATTATCCTTATTAATTTATTACTAATAGTGTCAGGATGTGACATAGACTAGCAATATTTTATTCAAAAGAATATTTATTAGATTTGGAGGAAGTTTTCGTCAATGTGATTTGCAATTCCAATTCAATAACACATATACAACGTAGATATATCTTATAATAGAAACGCGAAATTAGATTTCATATGTGATATTTTGTCACACTAAAAATTCTGTGGGGATCAGTCTTGTAATTAATCAGTAAGAATACAAAATCATCTTTTATTACTTCACAGTGACGGATGTCATAAGAGAGCATGCCCACGGATCCCCTAGAAAACCTTTGCACTCGCCATATCTAAGAAAAATGGCAGCTCACCAATCAAAAGTTCAGCATCCCTAATGCTACAGATATAGAGCATGTACCGCATGATGTAAATCTTACAGAGGATTTGTCATTTCGAGAGTTGATTGTGTCATTGCCACAGTGAACTGGTTTGATTTGACCTTATATTCCCATGATAACATGTGAGATATTGGAAACTAATTTACCATAAGTTTAAATAAAGGATGAATTTCACAGTTGATCAGCAAATAACAAGGATAATTTAATCTATAAAATATATCTAAAGTTCTACCACCTAGAAACCAAACAATAAACAAAACAGTGAGTATGATATATAGACACAGCTTTATGGAACAACAATAAAGAAAACCATCACTTCTTATCATTATGTGTCTGAGGATGACGGGGGAAACACGTCGAAACGTTGCATAAAACTTTAATCAGTGATTGTTGTTCCATAAAGCTGTGTCTGTATATAAAGAAAACATTGTTAGACTCATCGTATCTCAGAAAACACAGACACACCGCGCTTCATCTCAGACTTCTCTTTTCAGAACAATAATCATCAAATAATATAAATATAATTTGTGTTCTCTTGACAGTATTTAGTCGTAGAATACAAATATTGCCCCTAGTACCTTGAAAATGTCTTCCAACAGTTTGACACGAAAAAAGAGTTTACCCTTGAAAAACGTGGCGCAAAATACATTGCAATAGCATAATAAGCCAAATCAGGCTCAGCAACCTGAATAATGATTGATTTTTCAGACAACAGACTGTTTAAAATTCCAAATAACATGATTCAGTAGTTTCAATCATATTTGTTCACACAAATCATATAAAAACACTGTCGTTGTAAAGCGTGTAATTATTCAACAGCAACGGATTCATTCAACGAGATCTGAGAATGTGTTATTTGTTTAAGTATAAAAAGAATAATTTGAAAATAAATTGGTAAAAAAGTGAATGTTTTTTATATTTGTAGTGTCTCCAGCACAATAGATGATCAAAACTCATTACTTAATTTACAGTCTATTTGACGTGAGGTTGATATTGCATCTCATTCCTAGAATGGACAATATTAAAGAATTAAAAAGAGGTTTCTAGTCTTTGTGATACTTTCCATATACCTAAACATTTTCCATAATATAATGTCTGTTGTTCCTGTAAATCCAGAAAAAATTCGAACAGGTAATGTCGTCTCAGTTTCCATTTGACTTGAACTGTATTTCCGATCGTACTTCCATTCCATATTCTACATTAGTCAATACTGTCAAAATTATCAGAGGCTAACGATTTATAGATATCAGCAAGTCTTTTATCAGCTTTCAGCTATCAAATTCAGCCAAAAGCTTGGTAAAAGCCATATTAGTCTCATATTAGTAATAGATACCTATCAAAGACTACAAATAAGGGCCAGCAAGAGAGTCTCAAATAAGTTAGATAGTTCTCAAAGGTGGTAAGGGGGGTAGACATTAGAAAATCTCAGATACGTTAGTAGGTATCAACAAGTTTCGAATGATTATATATTAATGATAAATGTATCGTAATCTGCCAGTGATTGTGTGAATATTAAATTGGATTGAAACTGTTTATTTGAGTAACATTGTAAGTTTCAGATTAAAAATAAACAATAATCTTTATTGATTACTTAATAACATTGTTCTGTTTTTCTCTCTGGTTTTTAATCTAACACGCGTTGTCTTGGATTCAACACGATTTACACGTACATTTGTATGGTAGCATTGACTTTTATGGCTTTTAACAAACATACTTCACATTTCCCAGATTGTAATTTATACAGTCAAACATTACAATCGTTGACTTATTTGTATCTCTTTATCTCTTTTGTAAAAATAACACGATTTTTTAATCTCAAGTACTAAAAGAAACGCACATGTTTAAAGATTTGAAGGAACGTTTTGTCGCCCTTGAATGAGTATCGGTGACATTAATGACTAACAGTTTATAATTGCACTATTTCCATTTCTTCCGACCTCTGTGGTTCCTGCATTATCAGTTAAACTTGACGATAATGACGTCATAATCTGGGTACGGTTTTTTCTATTTCGGACAGGTATTTAAAATTGCGCAAATTGGGGTTTCAAGTATTCCCGAGTCGTGAAAATGGTTGATAACTACGTTGTACAGATTTAATACTAAACCTGGCGAGAAAAAGTATGTTAGTAGTAGCCACGTCAACAAACCGATCAGTCTAACTCAGAAGTTTACAGTTTTTACATACAAAAGGGGTAAAGGGCATTTATCAACAAAACAAACCACTCAATAATTTACGACTACAACACATCTAAAGCTCTAGAGATTATTCAAATACCATTATTTATAATGCATTGCTCTTCAAAACACAATCGCTGACATCTTACAGGCTCTTGACAATAATTAAATGTCAAAGCTCTTGTTGAAAATACTTTTAAAAAATCAAAAATACAGATCCAGTGTGAGAGTGTTCCATCGTCTTATATTGATTTGATTTTTGAAAGAAAAACACACCAAACACCCAGTCAAAAAAAGGAAACACTTAAACAAAAGCATAACGTGAAAGGTATGTATGTTATCTGAAAGGGCTGACCCTTTAAACTCTAGTATATTTACCTTCCTAATATAATACAAATACCTTGATCATAAAATAATAAATCATTGGTAGATCAAACATTAACTTGTTTCAGAGATAATTGATAGTTGCATTATTGCCAATATACTATCGAAAGTTAAAATGAAATGACATGAATGGAGTTTTACGTCCTACTTTACCTAACGGGCCAATGAAGACGGATAACACCATGCAATGTGCAATGAGGAAACTGTTTTCAGGACAACGGCATCAGCCTACTCTTTTTATTTCCAAACTGTCGAGGGTTATTTTAGTTAAATTTTAACCTGCACTTACTGAACCATGAAGTTTAAAAGAATGAATTACAGTGTATAATGTACCAGCTGATTAAGGACCAAATCTATCAATGCTTTTCAAAATCAAAATTTAACTTCAGGTTTCTCTACAATAAACTAAAACGAATTTAACAAATGTTACAATTCCAATGTATTGAAATATTATTACTTATTTTACGACATCTTTCTTAGATTCGCATTGCAGCCCTTGGTTATTTCAGTAGTTTTAAACTACATAACCCCGCATATATGCTATTCACGTTAGTGCAGATAGGTTTCATCTATCCAATTTAACCCATTTGAAATACTGATTCAAACGGAAACGTCATCTATTATATACGTTAGGTAGTTTGAAGGCAAACACAAGATATTTATTTTGAGCGGGTGTTAAACATTTTGTTGTGGACCATTAAGACTGTTTAGTTCATTCATTCAATTTGTTAATATAATTTTCTACTTCATTGTTATTCAATGTTGAACTGACTGACATGCCTTATTCACTGTATAAGATAAATCAGTTATAGTTATAATACTTTTTCTTTACATTGAATCAATTATTCAATTATTCAATGATTCCATACTCTATAAACTTCATCACAGATTAAGCATGAATGCGCTTATAAGTCATGAAAATATCCCTCAGAGACCTATTTCTTTGCAACAATAAACCGCTTTATCTGCTTATGTATTGAAAAGTAAGAGTTCTATCTAAATAAATCCTACCTTTTTGTATATCCTAAAGTTATTTTAGAAAATTCCCTGATTAGATGGTAAAGTTATTGAAGGATAAGAAAGGAAACGAGTAACTAACCGGCATAGTACAAAGTGTATAATATTAACAATACAAGCGTCCATAGCAACCATTACGGGAGATATCAATAGGTGGTGTATTTAAACTCAATACGTTACTTTCTTACATGCCTTCATTTATTTTCTCAAGAGCTGACATTATTAATTTATTACTTTCTATACAAACAAACCTTTTTAAAGGTCTTTCACTTTTATTTCTTTAATTTGACCCTAATGGCTTTGGTCAGTCGAAAAGCTTCGGTCCTATCCCCGTTCTGCAAACAACTTATGTAAAATTATGTATACAGGAGAGACATTTATATAAAATTTTATCACCCTTGACCAATGTTTCTGATATGAAATCCTCACCAGGATCGCTTATTAGTTCAGATAGGTAGTGAATCAAACATAAGCGAGGACACTTTTCGGGAATTATGCGCCAGACACCGTTTCTCATGCCCTAACTTTAATGGTGTAATCTATTGGATATTGAATTATCTTTATCAGGTAATAATTGATATTAAAGTTGAGAAAGTTATAAAACCTCACACCTCATACTTGTTATTTATCATGCAATTTCAATAGAGTTAATAACATGTTTTCAATAAGAGATTACATTATGTTAGATTGCTAATATCTATTCACCAAGTATTGCCCTAACACTCGCAATATCTACAGTTACACGTAAAGTTCAGACCTCCGTCATATATTAACATAACTTATTCATGTCATGATTTTATTAAAAAATAAAGGTCTTATTGCAATAAGTTTTATAACAATGGTGTACATGTAGTTGAAAATTCAGTTAACATGACATCTCTTGAGTCTATTTTTAAAAACGTAAAAAAAGCTTTATGTACCTTACCAACTCGCAGTTCATAATTATTTCAAACTGACAAAATCGATGAGGTAGAACAAAAAATCTATTCAAGCGAAATACTGATCGACTGAAAGTATCAACAAAAACATCAGAAATATTTCAAAGAGAATTGTCCTCCTGCACTCAATAGTCTGGTGAATTGTGAAGACATGTGAGTTTCATTACAGAAGAATTTCATCATTTGAACTGACAGATTGATGTGTTGATCTGTATTATTGACAGGGAATACTGTAGCGTGTAAGTCAAGTGGTCTGGTAAATTAACAGGAATTGTGAACAAACAGAATCATACACAGGTCTATGAACTCTATTTCCATGATCACAAATGCTTCCATGTTGCGTGTCAACAAGTCCAGTTCATTTTTTAGAAATAACGATTTATAATGTTTACGGCATTTGCATATACCTTGACTGCGGTGGCCTATTTCTTGTTTCACGGAATGGCCAACTCTCTTGTTTCATGGCAGTTTGTGATTTTAGCAAATTGATTAGATTGTTCGCTAGCCAACAAAAAATAATTACGCATGAAAACTAGGGCTCTGATTGGCAGTAATCGCAGGGGCATACTCCAATCAAATTGCTGAAACAAGAAAGTGATCCATTGCAGTCAAGGTATAAGAAGACGCCTAGTCATTGTGAAGATGGATTTTAGGGTTGAAATAAACTAGGATATTACTATCTAGAAGAATTCCGATCTAGAAGAACCAAATTAAATTTTATTGAAATATAAACTAGGATATTCCGATCTAGAAGAACCAAGTTAAATATTATCAACATATATACTAGGATATTCCGATATAGAAGAACCAAATTAAATATTATTAAGATATAAACTAGGATATTCCAATCTAGAAGAACCAAGTTAAATATTATTAAGATATAAACTAGGATATTCCGATCTAGAAGAACCAAAGTTAAAATATTATTAAGATATAAACTAAGATATTCCAATCTAGAAAAACCAAGTTAAATATTATTGAGATATAAACTAGGATATTTCGATCTAGAAGAACCAAGTTAAATACTATTAAGATATAAACTAGGATATTCCGATATAGAAGAACCAAATTAAATATTATTAAGATATAAACCAGGATATTCCAATCTAGAAGAACCAAGTTAAATATTATTAAGATATAAACTATGATATTCCGATCTAGAAGAACCAAAGTTAAAATATTATTAAGATATAAACTAGGATATTCCAATCTAGAAAAACCAAGTTAAATATTATTGAGATATAAACTAGGATATTTCGATCTAGAAGAACCAAGTTAAATATTATTAAGATATAAACTAGGATATTCCGATCTAGAAGAACCATGTTAAGTAATATAAACCAGGGTTTTTTTGATCAAAAATGACTTAAGATTGTTAATTATTTATTAAGCTAGTATCGTGATTTTAGATAATTCCAGTATGACTTCAATCTACTATCAATAATCATTGAATATAATTAATTATTAATTCACATTTTACTTTGATTAATCCTGAGTCTGACCCAATTCTTTCTGTTTCTTGTTTTCTGTAGGTTGTCATTGAAAATAATGCCATCCTAAACTGCGTTTTCGTAGTAAACTTTCAAAAATTATTAATATAGGTCGCCCTACAGTGAATTTGATACAAAGCCTGCTTTTGTTTTGTAATAATAATAATACGTAGGTTGAATACAGTGTACACCATATTAGACTATTAGAGTTAATAATAACAACAAAATAACCTATTGTTTTAATGGTCACTGTTGGTCTAGGCCTACTCTTCCTTTATTTCTTCTTACACCTTATTTAATCTTTATTACCGTAGCTAAACTTTGTCTGTGATCAATCTCAGTTTATCGTCGTTTTCTAATAAACTATATTAATTTTCAGCTTAGGTTAAATATTGATCTAGACTTATTGAATAAGTTATTGAATTCAGCTTAATGATCAAAAAGCCTTGATTAATCTCTCCTATTTACCCTTCTTGCTAACCGTGGCCTTTCCTTCAAAAAAAAAATCCGAGAGGCATGCCAATCTGAGAATTTGAATTTTTCTCTTTAAAAATCGCACTCAACGTCAAATTTACGTTTGCTCCATAGGCAGATTATACAGTAAACACAATTTTTACAAAGTAAAATCATCATTTACGACGTTGAAAATTTTACAAAAAGAAGAATTGAAAACGATGGCTTCTTACCTTTAGTGTTGTCAGGCATGTTTCAAGCCGGAAGTGGTATTATGACGTTATAATCAAGTGACGTTAGCCATTCTATGACGCCTTTCTTCTGCTTACCAGCTTGGATTGTTTTGTACAGTTTTTGTAGAAATCTAAACTTTTGACCAAATTGTGCTCCTGTTTGAAGATTGGGTATCAACTCTTGACAGAACTACCTTTAAGACGACGTCGTATGTCGGTGAAGGACTGAAGCTATTGATACATTGCGTTTGTTTTGGATTGTGTCTAAGTCTTTCATTTTATTTTCATTTTACATGTAAAACTTTGTGACCACTGCTCGGTCTCCACACCTGATGTTTCCCAGGATAGCTGATTAGGTTTTGACAATGCAAAAGGTTTTTTTTGTACTTTTTCCTTGGCTTTTCGGGCAACGATCCGTAGTATAAGGCTAAGCGTTGGTATTTTTGGGGTCAATTAACATGAAGTTGAGAGATATTCATGCCAATTTTTATTTGTTTGTCCTTTTTTATTCTTTATCGACAGAAAGGTATTTTGATATTACTAAGACAATAATCAGAGGTAAAATAGTGCTAATGGTCTGTCTAATCGATCATCATAATGAATTCTGTCAAATATTGTGTAAGAATTATGATCAAACCCTATCGATTATTAACTTATTGAATAAAAAAAACGCTCAAGGTTCAAAGGGGTGTTTCGATAAAAGTATTATAATTTAAGTAAGATTATTTTAAATACTTGTAGTCCTGTATTAACGGGGTATGGATGCCAGTTCTGACTAAGGACTCAATTCCCTTCTATGTATTCCTTTCAGTATACTCGACAAAGTGTTCAATATTTACCTTGACCTTCGCCTAGGTAATTTAGAACTGTTTCCTCGTGGAATAAGATTACCTGCTAGTAACGATGAGAGGTTTAGGACATATTATGTGTAAACCCTCCTCCTCCCACCCTTCTTCACCCTTGGTGCTTTTTAATATCACTATAATGGTACTAAAAGGATTCTGTCTGTTACCTACGGCATCAAACCATCGACCATTCAGCGGAACAATTTTAGACATAAACACTTATCTGTACAGCCTTAGAATAGAAATCATTGTTCCATTCACAACACTTTGTTTCACAGAAATTGATTTTTGTCAGAATAATTAAAACATCGATAATTTAATAATCTATGATACAAAATAAACAAAAGTATGTATAATATTTATAACAAATTCAATTAATAAAATAATTAAAACAATACCGTTAACCGGTTAACCGTTATCAAAAATCGAAAAGCAAAATAGACAACAGTAAGTTAACACAAGTAGATCGAAAACATGCAGGTTATCACAATATTAGTCCGGAGATCCACTTGAGCGCCGCCCTCGCATCATTTTATCACGGTGTTCACACATTCAAAGAGGTTATAGTTGATCACGTCCATTTCTAATTATTCCTCATATAATTCTCATATTTCGTATTTCAACACCAGAGAACCGAAACGACACCCGCCCCCTTCCTTCTTACAACTAGGTTGTACTTCTGATTGGTGAATTCACTCTTATCGTTTCTTTCGTTTATTAGAATTGTTGTTATTGTTAGTTTTCTTATTATCCTCTTTAATCTGGTTGATATTTTGATTGGCCTGAAAAATATTAAAAATATTAAAAACTCTATATTTTACATGATTCAGAATTAGGTCCTTTACACCACGTGACACATTTCAGTCTAACAATCCATGGAAAAGTAGATGATAATCGTTGTTAGATGCTTTTGATGGCTGATTGTCACAAGCTTTATTTCTAGATTCCTTCAAATTTCCAAAGGGAAAAAACAATATAGGTCTAAGGACTTCTGAAGTCGTCAAAATATATTTATCATCTCAAAGAGCAAGCTTAATTTCAGGTGTTTAAATATTTTTTGTCATCATTTGCATACCTTTTAATGCTTACATGCCAGAGAACATGACCTGGTTTTAATTAAAAAAAATATACAAATATATTACACATTTATACCTACCCACAAGTAAAAAATCGCCGCCCCATTACTAGCTTTTAATACATCCCCATATTCACAGTTATCTAAAATCTTCTCGGCTTTTAAAGCATTGTCTAGTTTAGCATCATCTAAATCAAAATTATCTACTTTATACATTAAACCATTTTTATTTGTTTGATTCATCAGACCTTGTATATCACCCCAATCCTGAAAAATAGAACATCAACTTAGTAAACATACGTAGTACAGACAAGCTTACATGAATAACAGCTTGTGTTTTCTTCCTCTACCAGCGGACATAGATCGAACCGGAAACATCAATAGTAATGTTCTTACTTTTTGAATCCTATCTGCCAGCAGGTAAAACATCCTAGGAATCATTTTACAAAGATACACAATGTACTAACATATATTCTTTGCGATCCTGTCTCCTCCTAAATGAACCTCAAAGGCAATGTCCTTACAAGGCAACAACTAAGGCTTGTGGGCACACGAACATTCTTGGTCGCCTATTTTAATGGCCGACTCGAATTGCGACTAACATCATAGGTGTGTCCACGTTTCAATGACAAGATAATCGCGTTGCAGAGAGGATTTAAAGTATCAAATAGCAGTTTGATATTCGTCGCCGTTTGCTTTATCGACTGCAAGACAGAGCGTCATCATTCAATAAGATTCATTTTCCTATCAATAGCATGATCCACAAGAGATTATCGCATGGCATTCTCACACTTTTGATCAACTTATATTTTTTAGACATTGTCCAAACCACACCATCGGCTGGACCAAATATTGGTATCTCTTACAAGGATAACACTAACAGTGTAAGTTCTCTTGGATAATGTCCTGCAGGTGGATCCTGACCAAGCCTCAACTTTCTGGCAATTTTTAAGAATCTTGAGCAAACTCCTCCAAGACAGTAAATATGCCTTATATTATCAAGAGAAAAATTGAGCCGAAAAACACAACTTTCGCAACTTTGCAGGTAAAATTCGGATTACTTTACTTCAAGAACTCTTTATTTTATAAGATTTGAGTTATTGGAATGATAACTTTATAAAACATGCCTCAAATGTCTCTTACCTGCATTTTGTCTGGATCTGTATTTAGTAAAACATAGGTAGATTTCATAGTATAGAATATACAGTCTGGAGGTCTCTGATAGCTCTTTATTTCACTGACAGTTTTTTGTTCCATATCTAACACATCGTGCGTATGAATTTCTAATTCCACGATATGATCTCGTAGTTTCTCGGCAGCTGCGATATGTGTGCGTAGCTTATTCTGATATGGTGAGTTCTTCGCATTATTTATAGCATCTGTCAAAGTTCCCGCATGTCGTCTTCGCATACCATCTCTTAAACCTGTAAAAATATAACAAGGTGTTAAGAGTTTAAAGTATTGTTGTTGCAGAAGGGCGTGCTTTAGCCAATTAATATTTTTCGAGTAACAATCTTGAAAATTGCCTTAGAAAAAATGATATTTTCCCGGTATATAATCTCGCCCATCCCACTGCAATGATTACACGGCAGCAGTAAAATGTAATGGTGTGATTGGAACTCGATAATTTCGTCTGAGGTAATTTTATACGTAGTCCCGTCCGATTACAATGAGATTACTGCTCTATACCCTCCATGCCGTAACCAAGATATCCAAAGAAACTATAAGATGATAGCTATACCTCTTTGCACTTGCAGGAAGTAACGCCTATCAATTGCCCGGAAGTAGTCGTCATCTTCCGGTCCGTCATATTTTTCATACTTTTTAAGTGCGTCTTCAATTTTCTCCAGACTTCCTCTCTGGGTGCATTCCTTCAGCTGTCGCTTTAGCTTCGCCTGAAATATTGTTGGATTACTTAGCACACCTTTAAATCATGACCAGTTAGACCATCTGCAATTGCCTGCTTAGTGAACGTCTGGTATCCCTATTCTTCCACACAGTCGGTCATAAAGAGGCGAGGATAATCTAGGAAAAGTCACACGGTTGGGCTTGGATCAGTTGATCGGGATTATAGAGTGATATGTTGTACATCTGGTAGGTCCTTCCATTGATCATGCTATGGAGACAAATGGACGTTTTACGCACTACTTTTCTTAACGTTATCGGAACAAGAAAGAAGGGATTTGGTGTGAGAGCTCCAGGTTTACATATTCACGGAAATGAACTGCTATTGTAACTGTTATTCTTACCTTAAAACCATAAATATAGGCTATACCATCCGGGAAGCGACTAGTGTCTGGATGACTTCTGTGAGTCTGAAAGCAATGAAGACGATCTGTTACTCGTATGTATATGCATAGATTTACTAATATATCTCTCATTATAAATGCTAAATCGACTATTACCACAGGACATTCAAACGTATTCCAATAATTAAATGGACTGACAAACTATTAAAGGGAGATAGCTCTACCGTACCTGGCCATAATATTCAGATGCGTTCTCGGAGAAATCTATACTTCTAACACCTTCAAAATCACCTTTCTAAAAGAACCAAACATTTTTTTATAATCAAAGGAGTTCAAATAGGGTTTAAAAGACACGTTTAGCCTATTTCTGTCAGACTGGAAAACGGACCATTCATAATAGTTGTACAATAGAAATTAAATGTGAATACTATAATAGTGAACTGAAGTTTATGGATAGTCTATGATATCAGCTTCTGCTAATTTATCAACTACTAACCAATCAAGTTCTGAGGACAACTGATCATGTGTGAATTTCATTAACATTGAAATGAGTATAGTTGAATACGCTTATAGAGTGTAATTTCAGATATCCATGGACCATGCGATAGTCACTTGTACCTATTAGAAGCTAAAGTAATTTAAATCGTCATATTGTATGTACATGTAGGGATAGTCTGCGATATAAGCTTCTGCTGGAAGCGGATGTTGACTCGTCATCTCCCCAGTAGCCAACCTACGTCTTGGGAGAATAAAATTGAGTGCGAATTTCACTGACATTTAAATTAATATGCTAGTGTAAATGTATTTGCTTTATACACTTTTAGAGCGCAATTTCAAATAGTGTCTACTAAGTGAGCGCAACTAAGAGCATTAAATAATGTAACCTGAAACTGCACCTTTCTGGCGTTTCTCTCTTTTCCTTTCGCTCCTTTCTGAGATTGTGATTTTGGTTGATTTTCTTGTTTTGTACTCGAAGATGATCCACAACCCATTTTCAGGACTATTTACAACGTTTCTGGAATGAATTAAATCCTGCTTCGAAAATATATACTGGTAGAAATGACCTAATCTATTCTACTATTGTTCCATGTCCCCTCGGTGTCAGACGGGCGACCGAACTAAATTCAAATTCACATTTTGAAGATCTGTCACGAAAAACTTTAAAGATAAAGATCTGAGGCACTGATTTGGATGTAACCCGGCGTCCTATGAATAATATTAAGTTACTGCCAACTAATTACTAGAGAAACACGAGTTCCCTTAAAGCCTTAATATGTTTGATCTCTTTAATGAATTTACCTATGTATAACTATGTTACTATCCAACATATACTAGAGAAAGTCGTATTCCCTGAATATCTTTGTATGCTTTATTATGTTTGACCTCTTTTAGTAATTTACCTAGATAGTCAACTATTGTGATATTAATATGTTACAATTATAATATATTGTTTCCTATTTGCTGTATTCGTCTGTGTGTGGCATATTATGTGAGGTATTAACCTATTTTTAAAGTTTTATGTCGTCCAGTTTTCAAAATAAAGTTCGTTTCCAAATTGACAGTTTTATTGTTCAATGTTTTAGGTTTCTCTTCCGAATAAAATTGTATTTCCGAAATGTTTCAACAATGTGTTACAATAATCGTTCCAAAAACTAGATTCGACCATCAAATAACTACGATTTAATTGGAAGAATAATGTTTTAACTTTGTTATTTTCGAAAAAATGGAAGACGATCAACTGTCATGGAAACATTCTCAACTTTTAGTACTAAAAATATTAAAGAAAAATAAGGCACCGACTTGAACGCTTACTGAAATCAAAAACTTCTGGAAATATTCTATCATTTTTATCTCATATACTAACCTCTGATTCAGGCAGGTAAAAGTTACATCATAAAATCCCTATTTCACTCATTTAAATCCATTTTTATCCACTATTTAAACGATCATGTTTGTAAGTATCTACGACAGCGCCATGTTACTAGGTCCAATATTGAATAAAAGAACTGGCCCAGTTATTGCTAAGTGATTTGAATGAAGAGAAGAAAAATGTCATAATGAAAGTAATAAATAAAAAGATTGTATGTTCTTTGTGTAGTGAACGAGGGTGTAAACTTACATTATTCTCATAAAGACTCTTTGTCCAGTGAATAAAAAATGAAAGGTGTTTATATCATAATTAAGTTATTATGTAGTTATCTACCTTTAAATATTAAAAGAAGACTATAATTATTGATATTTTTCTGTGTGTTACAGTTAATTAATTTAGTGTGTTTTTACATCTTGGTTTATCAAGTGGTATACGAGTTAGACGAATGCTAACCTTTGATACTGTAGTCTGATGATCTGCTCAGCCCAGGACTTGAGCTACAGGGGGTGTGGGGGTGGGGATGGCAAGGGGCAAGGGGAAAGGGGGGCACCCCACACCTCCCTAAGAAAAATTCTGACAACCAGCCAATGTCCTACTTCAACAAAAGACAAGACCATACCCCTTTGCCCTTCCAGAAAAATCCAGTGTGGCTACGGGCCCTCCACATCAAGAACTAATATTGGGCCATCTAAGTAAGCGAGTAATCCCTCTACAATATTTCTTGTACAATTTTATAATTAATGCTGTAAGGCAATGTCCCAATTTTAATGAATTTTAGTTAAACTGCATCGATTTTCGTACTTAAAAGCACAACAAGTACCATATATAAATAAATCCAATATTTATTTCATTTTTCATAATCATCTTGATCATTTTCATCACAATGTTTAAAACTGACCACATCATTATAGTAAATAGTTTGTTTGATGTCTGAGTACATATAAAGCCAGCAGACATCAATACCTTGGTCACCTCGGACTAACTGTGTAACGCCACATTCATCATTATAATAACACAGTTCCTTACATTCCTTCAACCCAGTCACTATAACACGATCAATTAGAGGTCTCTGTAACAAGTGACAGCCATAACGCTGATACATTGTAACTGAACATTTACTAGTCTGTGCGCACCAATCGTAACACATTTGTCTGTTATCTAGAAGTTTGTAGTCTAGGGTCGTATCAGCCGTTACACCATATCCTTCGTGATCAACAAAATAACAATCTGGAAGAAAATTTATAAGATACTGACAGGTGTATAAATATATTGGACTATGTACAGGATAGTTCTTTACGATGATCCTGTGCGAAAGAAAACCTGCTGTGGACAACTTTCAAGGGTGGTATGACACATTTTAATAGAAGCACATTAAGATCAAGCATCCTTACCACATCTTTTATGAACTCACTGGTAATCTACTAATTATATTCCAGCTGCCTATACTATTTTTAGAATAGAATTTTGTATATTATCAACGTAATGCCTTGCAAATATTACCAACATAGTGTGAATTATGCAGTCAGGGTTTCATTTCAAAAGTGATACAGATGACTGATAACTATACATCTATATCACGAGTTAACCTAACAATATATCACAAAATATCACTATAATAAATGCTTCCTACCTGAGTAGACGACGACGATGTATCCCAGCAGGTAAAATAACCGTTTCATCGTGACACCGAAGACTAAAACTCGAATGTTGTGTGTTAGCAGACAATATATAGTAAGGTTGAAGGTCATTGCCTCTCTGATCCTCTTACCGGTATTTTTTAATTATCACAAAACTCATCAACCTAGGTAAGATGTACGTCAAACATGGACTGGTATAGTCTTGTATCTGGGACCATTGGTTCATTCAGTTCGTTGGCGAACTGTAAATTAGTGCAGAAAGTTGCACCTTCAGGGGCTTCATTGTATTGTTCTAAGACTGCCTTTACTTTTCTGCCTGCTCGTCTATGTCTGTGATACCATCCGATAATTGATCCTCGTCTGGGATTTGTGCTGGTTTGATTATCCTTTTCTTACTGCCAGTGGCAGAGGCAGGTTTATTTCCGAGGGGGGGATGCAGAACAGTGTAAAGAGTTTATTATGACATATGATAAGACGTCAAGATGTAGACTGATCTATTGACGGAGTTTTCCGTCACGTTCTGTACACATCTTGATCCAATCACACATATAATAACCCGTACACTAGACGATTTCCATTGTTGTATTACTAAATCTATTGTCTCCTCATCATATTTAAAACAATAGTTTAGTCGGTTTAAAATAAGAGGTTTAAATTCTCAAGGTTGAGTTCAGATCACAGTTAAACGGAGGCGATAGGAAGGCGGGTAATGTATGTATGGCAACTTGATGCAGAACTGTCCAAATTTTTTATTGGACATGGACACTAATCCGTACAACATCCAAAGATGCTATATTTTTAGTTCTCAATTTTGCAGCATTTATAGGTCTTTCGGACACCCCCCCCTCAAAAAAGAAAAGAAAAAGAAGTTGTTTACTTTGGATATGGAATAGACACCCTTATAAAACATGTTGCAAGTAGTTGAAGTCCTATCAACCGAGTTTCCCTGAAGTTCAAGACCAACTTCGAGCATAGAGGGTGAAATTTGTGCACTTCGTTAACCTAATAAGGTGAAATACTTGATACTATGGTATAAGAAGAAAATAGGTTTGTGATATCTTATTCTATGGTACCTTTAACATATTCCTCCAAATTCTATAGTTTCGGTTCGTTTAATGAAATTCCAAAATGCATAATTTTTGGCGATTCTTTGTACGTCCGGTTGATGCGTTTGGACGATTGGTTCTTAATATCTTGGCGTTCACAGGCAGGGAACATGCCTAAGGGGGAGATCAACAATTAGAGATGTCTCTTTGATGTGAGGCCCCAAGATCCGAAGCCAGCCCCTTGAGGCCCCCAGAAGACGACGGATTTTTAATGGCCTGAGATGAATTTTGAGCATTTTGAGGGCTTAATTTTCACTCCAAAATAAGACAGACTTTTCACAGGCGAAATTCAACTGGAATGTTAGTGATTATTTATTAAAACTTTAATTACAGAACAGTTTATCATAGTCTACAATAACATTGAAATTTTAGATCAGGTAAGTTTATCAACTGTTGCTCTTAAGCTCCAACCGAGTTGGAGAAATATGAAATTTATCAAATGTATTTGTGACAGGATATTGTAATTTGTGATGTTTGTGATAAATCATTGACTTCAATTAGAAAAATCCAGTGTTAGTGTTGGTATTTGTGTTAGTGTTGGTATTTGTGTTGGTGTTTTGATTAAATCCTGCCTGACCAAAACCAGTATTTGGATCAAATCCTCCATTTTGTCCGAATCCATTTTGACCAAATTGACTATTTTGAGCTTGGTTGAATTGGGCGGCTACCAGTGATGAGGAACCCCTGCCAAGAGAACAGCACAGACTTAACATAAAGGTACATTGGTTACCATTAACTCCTCGACATAACTGAAATAAAAACCAGAATCAAAATAAATACAAGGGGATATGAGTTCAAATCCATGAAGTACGATTAAAAAATATACAATCCTAGTTACTGGTAAGTGTCTTATTCAAGGCTAATTTGGAAAAGATTCAGTTCATATGATGAAAGTAAGATAAAATCAAGATATTTAGCCTTTTAATCCCAGGGAGGGGTTACATAGGCCAAAGCCTGATCCCCAATCCTATTCATATCTATATGAATAAAATATTGTTTAAAATAAAAAAAAGGCATTAAGCCTTACCTTGGATGAATACAAAGTATGTAACTGACAAAAAGTGGGAAAAAACAACAGTTAAGATGCCCCTTTGTGGAGAGAATTGACAAAAATTGGTGATCAAAGTCGGGTGTAACTGAACACAAGTTTGGAAAAACAACAGTTACAATATATTAAGGCTAATAGAAAAACAAAAAACAAAATTAAATTGTGAGGCGAATTGATAGAAATTGGTGTCAACTATTTAGAAATTGAGTGATTTTGCTATAAGTTATAATCAATGTCCTTTAACCAATGACTACACTGACAGAAGCCCTTGGTAAAGTTTCAAACAGTTGAAGTTCTAATAGAGTGAAATTCTAATTTTAATTGAGGAAAATAGAAGAAAAGAAAACTTGAAACATTATTAACCCTTTGTTCTCAACAGTAAAAAAAGTAGCAAATAAGTATTCAAAGGATTGAATTAATATATTCATCCACAATTGACCACAAACCCAAATCCGCTTTTACTGAACCTTCTGTGGCTTTCCATGTCATCGAATGACTTTCCCCGTACATACTATACAGAGAGTCATGTTTAACAGCTCTTTTGAAAGGTTGCATCCTTGAATTATATTTACTGACAAAAAATAATCGGACAAAATGACCCGAACTGACACTATGGATCTGCACCATGATGGTAGATCAATCACCAAAAAAAAAAGAGAAATAGATCTACTTATATTTATTACGGCTAACATTTTAAACTTGTGGGGTTAATACATGAATATTCTTAAAACAACAAGATCGTCAGAAGATCCTTGGTATCCTTATAGACAATATCTCGTTCTATTACGAGTGCAACTGTTAAGTGAAAATGAATATTGTGCTTCGGAAACTGTTCAAATATTGGGGTATCTTTTGTTTAAGGGAAAACCATTGCAGCAGCAGCGGGTTGAGTGTTGGCGAACGGATCAGCTGCCTGACCACCATTGAAACCTGCTTGTCCGTTGAATCCGTTTTGCTGTCCGAAAGGATCGTTTCCGAATTGATTGTTGTTTGCTGGCATGGAGGTAGCCATTGGTGAAGTTCCCTTAGACAGGGTACAGCACAAACTGAGCATGAATGAACAACTGTTTCCGTTGACTCCTCTACAAAGCTGAAATAGAAATAGCATAATAACAATAAGAGAGTGTTCAGTTAAAACATTTTTTTGATAGAATATGTCAAATAGGATTCATCAGTGCAGAGAGACAACAGTCAAATCATCTTATAGAAGAATATTGATCATGTGCAAGAGGTATGATATTGACAGATATACATAGGACTATGTTGATGAATAATGAAAAAGGAAAAAGCATAAAAATAAAGAGAGGTTTCGCAACTTATTCATTCCAAATTGTATAATATAAGAATGCAATTAGTCAATAAATTAATATTTCATTTAAGATTGATATACTCCCTCATATCATAAGTTCATTAGCTACTTCCATTGTATTACCAAACTCTTATTTTAGATGTTAGGTTTCGTTTTGTGGTTTAGATCGTTTGGGTTTTTTTTTAGAAACAAGTCCAAATCTCAACGAATGTCACGTTTTATAATTAGATATAAATGCTGAACCGTTTTTCGTTACGAAACCTCCTAGTAGGTTAGGGTTGGAAAAATTTCGAAGGCTTTGATAAAGCCTGTGTAAAAAGTAGAAAGATGAATTATGTAACGAAATTTGTATGGTATACTTACTTTAGTATTCTCTTGATTCGATTCAAATAAATTCGAACAAAATTGCGAAACCTCTCTATAAAAAACGCTGTTTGGGAGTTGATATCCCATTTAAAAAAAGCCATCAAAACACAACACGTAACGAAATAACTAGAAACACGAAATAGTATTAAGAAAACTTCGTTGCTTTTTATATTTCCATCCCCATTGTTGATGAAAATTTGAGTACGAAAGAAACAAAATAAAATCAGTCAAGTTTTATTGCGAACAGCATTGAATGCACTTACGATAACCAGCAACTAATTAAGCCAAATAAACATTGACTTCATACACCATATATTTAATGGGTTAATAATTTGGCGGCGCGATCACTTCCCCTCGCTCTGTGATATTTGATAGTTGTTTAAATAAGGCTCGAAATAGAGGGAGTATTACTTACAGCAATTCCACTTCCGGCCATTTCATTGAAGTTGATTTCAACATTTCTGGAAATTTGGAATGATTGTCCTGGTTGGAGGAAGAATCCAGATCCCAATTGTCCGGCACTGAAAAATATAATACACAATCCCTTTATAGATAAGACAAGAGTTCGTCCTCTTTACATTGGTACCTCCTGTATTGTTTTCTAGATACCGGAATGGTACTGGTTTTTGTTATGAACTGCAAAAATAGACCTCATTTCAACCATTGTAACAAAATAAATGTTGACTTACGGTTGATTGTTGTTGGGAGAGAAGGATTGGGCTGGATTCCATGGGTTGGAGAATGGTGTCATTTGGTTTCTTCTGAAGCCTTGTTTGATGCTACCAAGCATAGCTGGGTTGCACATGCCGGGGGAAGCAGGGCCATATTCGGTCATTACCAACTGCATGTTACCAGCGAGTTGTTGTCCGGCTGATTTGATGGAGAATTCCATTCGAACGGGTTCATTTTCAACATTTGCTTGTTGTTGTCGTAACCATGGGAACTAAAATAAATTTGAAAATTAGTTTCAATTCATGCCAATTTAGCAGTACACCTACAAATCCATATATATCATTCTATATTAATCCCTGTAGAAATACCCTTCTACGATATTCAGAAATAAAAATGTGCCCCTATTTGTACCCGCAACCTCGGGAGGCTAGTGCCGCCTCTGAGTGCAAGGCAGCCTTAACACAATGTCAGCTTACCTGTTGTTGAAGCATATTGTTTTGGGCTGACATAGGTCGAGTGAAGGTCACTTTCAGTTCATTTTGATTCTGATCAGCAGCACCACAATTTACATATTGGTCTGAAATATAATAACATTTAATAATAACAACAATAACCTAAATGACATTAACAATTAATTCTGTATTTATTCTGTGTTTTGTTATTCCCATTCATTTTTCACTATTCCAAACGTCAATAGTACCTGCTAGTCTAGAAAATCAGATCATGACGCTATTTTTGCATAATTATGATATTTTGTATATTACGAGAACAAAAGAAGCTGTTCTCAGATGTGTCCACGATACATTTACAAAAATATAAAACTTCTAAAAGCAATTGATTGCACGAGACAGCGATATTTTGAATGTAATGCCACAACAAAAACATATAAAGTTTAAAGAGATTTGTGGAAACTGTATACAGGTTTAACAACCAGCACTAAAGGTATGCACAAGTCAAAACTAAGAGCAACAAGATTTTCAAAAGCAGCTAGCATCTAACATCTGAAGATGGAAGAATCTGATCAGCCACTTGTCGAGTAGTCGACCTGAATGTAACAGGTAAGAAAAATTGCAGTTTCCGCCAGTCGCTATCAATTGCTCATGTTCTACTATCTACTAAAAGGTGAACCTAGACCGTCGACTGCAGCATCGCAATCTGCACAACCATTTAGTTGATTGCAGGCTAGTAGTCAGTAGATAGCTTGATAAGGGATCATTGATTGTGCTTAACTACGACTTCGACTGCAACGGGTCCAGTGAGATGCTATGAATCGCTAGTCGACTTAGCTCAACATACGATATAACGTATTACTCATTGTTTCATAAATGGTTTTTAATTCTACTTACACGCATTAGTAGTTTGTTGTCCTGCTCCAAACTGATTGACTCCTCCACCAAAAGGCAAGGGACTGAATCCACGTATACCAGAGAATTGACCCCATGGAGCCTGAGCTGAGCACAATTGAATGGTAATAACCACACACAAGAAAAGACAAAGTTGGCCTGCCATATTACCGGTCTGGATTGATACTAGTGAAGTAGACAGCGCGATATTCTCTTTTGACGTTCTTTTAAACTTGGGTCTAGGTAGATATCCCTCGGCCAATGGGTATTCGTGGTGTAGGTAGGGTCAGATATGATGTCAATTATCTCCAACTCACGATCACTAATTAATCTATTTAATTAATTAAATATTTCGAGAGGAAAAACTTAAATGTTAAAAAATAACTTCGATACCGCGGGCAATATCAATCGGTTCTTTATATTGACGATGTTAAGGTGCAACGCATTTTCGAGTTATATCCCGATGAGTACGTAATAACTTCTAATTATCAACTTGTCATAGGATTGACTGGTTACAATCTGATTCTAATTAAATTACATTTCATTTTTTAAATGATATCTTACGTATTGTAATCTATCAGTCCCGTTCTAGGGAGGTTACTGTTACTACGTCACAGCTTAACATATAGAGTCGTTTCCTTAAAGATGTACTACCTCTTAGTATGACCAAAAATTGATCTCTTTGTTTATAAGTGGACTTACCTGGTGTCAAAACTATACGTCAGAATCCCTTTATAATCCAATAAATTCATAAAACTAAGTAATAATTCATTACACCAAGTAAATGTGAAACATGCTTAGAAGGGTGTTTCAATAATTATTTAGTTTAATGGCTATATCATCTCGAATAGAGATTTTATTCTTTAGTCATGGCACTTGTTAAGTCAAACTGCTGAATATACATATATACATTTGTTGACCAAGTTTTAGACTGCAAATTTTATGTCCATTCTAAGAGGTAGCATCCTATAACAATGACGAATTGTAGGACTGCAAAACCCTATGTAGAGCAATATGACAGTCGCTATCTCACGATTTGTCATTGGTAACAAAAAAGGATCTTACATGACACAAATAGAATGGTCAAAAATATCTCATTAGAACAATACTACAGTAGAGTATATTGGAGACGGACAATATCAAAGAAACCAATGAAATTAAAATTAATTGTAATGTGGTGCATCCATAGACGTCAACCACACTAGTAGATAATGAATGAATGAATGAATGAATGAATGAATGAATGAATGCCAAATTTGACACTGATTGCACAAACCATCAATAACGAAAGAAAAGCTTTAGGCCTCGAGAATAGATTTGTGGAGTAGATTGCAATTGCCCAAACCATTTTTCATGATAACCCAACTCGATCAAAGAGCCACAACATGATCTATCAATGTTTTCCAACGTGTACCCTTAACGAAACAATCCTGTAAACCATGCGAGAATATAATGTATTTACGGTGTTTCGGCTTTAACAAATGTGAGTGTATCTCTCCGTCATGGTTCCACAGATACTAAAATACAGGGCATCAATAATTATTGGGGTTTTTTATGTTCTTTTTGTAAACAATATTTCATTCACAAGAGAAAATTGTTTATGTTTAGTTAATTTCAAAATAACAAAATTATTATGTTTCATTTTATTTTTATTGTACAATTTTTGCATATATGATGTAATGTTGTTTTTTCGGGAGAGGGGTAATATAGGCGAAAGCCTGTTCCCCATCCTTTTCATTATTATATGAATAAAATATTGTTTACAAAAAAAAGAGAAAATTATTAGGTATCAGGCTTTTGCCTAATACGACCCATTTCTGTACATGTACTGTTTTACCGCGTCACTTCTGTACGAACATAGCATATTAATGCAAATTTCTGTGATTGAGCATCATAAGTAAGCATAGCATTCTGCCGAATAACAAATTAATTCGAACAAGGGGTGGGGCATACTACAGTCCAGGGTAGGAGCCAGAGACTTCGCAAAACGTTTATTGGCCTTTATTTCTGTACCGAGGCCCTACAACACTTATAATACCCCCTTGCATCATTGCTATTTCTCGTCCATTGTCTGTGGTTTCGATATTACAATCTCAGATAGTATGCAAGACAAAAGGTTTCAGCTAATGCTTGGTTAGATGCGAGTGTTGTTCTGCTATCATTGTCGTTACTTTCAAAGCTGTGACACATTTCATAATATAAAAATACTTTAATTAAATAAATAGCTTTATTTCACAATAATAATAAAACCTATTTAAACATCATAATTATTGTTTTGAAAATGGTTGAACCTCTAAACATAGTACAGTTGGCTATTAATTCTTATTCTGTTTGAAATTTCATTCCACTTTCCTTACAGTTATGTCATTTGAATATTTATAAAGTTTTACATTCAGACAACCAAACATATTTTATACGCCCAGACCAACAAAACTCTTTTAATAGGTTCCCAATAGACCCTCCCAATTCCCTCTTACCATAACCTCCCAAACCCCATTTCCTTCACAAATAAAACTTACAACTCTTAAGAATACCGCCCCCGACCGACGCGCCTACAAATCAGAATATCTCACCCCTTCCCCACCCAACCAATTATAAACAACCAAGAAATACCAAAACGCCCTCTTTCTAATTCACCCCAAAGACCACCCGAATGCCCCCACCCAAATCTTTTCCTACCAATGAAACCCAATTTTGAATTACCAAAAAAAAAAAATCCAATACCGATAAACTTTTATCTCCCTTCTCTATGACACTGAAGCCCTTTTAGGCGATTTCCCACAACCAAACCCCCTTTGACACCCCTTCTTAATATCTCAGTTT